ACAAATAATCAATCTACTGTCTATCAGGCCAAAAATAAATAAATAAATAAATAAATAGACAGGCAAAACTGGGCAGGATCTGAAATCAGATTTTCTTCTGTGTAGAGCTTGTTGCCACTTACAGTATAATGAAAGTAGATCAGACAGTATAGGCCTAAACTACAGAGCCACAGCTTCACAAAGAGACCAGAAACAGATTAAGTTTGAATTGGGGTAATAGGCCTTCATTGGATTAAAGTATTGGTTTTCTAGAGATTTTTTGGGGGGGGTTACTGTATCCTATAAATATATCTTAATAATTAAAATATCATTAAATCTGTTTGCCTTGTCCTAGGACTCTCTGAATAAATTTGTGGGGCGGACACTGAAGGAGTGTGGGGAGGACCTCCTAGTGGAGATCTCTGAGGTTCTCTTCAATGAGCTGGCCTTCTTCAAACTCATGCAGAACCTGGACAGCAGCAGTAGCAGCACCACAGGCCCTGCAGCCAAACACAAGAACAGGAGGAAAGAGGACCACACCAACAAAGACAAACATGACTCCAAGGTTAGACGCAGAACACTTTTAACATCCCAGCAGCTGCTCTAACAACTTTGAATTTGTTAGTGAGTGTGGAAAGAAAAAGCAATTTGCAAAGAACATAAAAAGGGCCCTCACCTGACTTTTGTTCTTCTAGTTCAGAAGAAATTACTTTTCTACACAGTTGTAAAAGCAGATATTTGTGGGAAAAAATGACTAATTGATATTGCCTATGCATTGTAAAAGGAATTTTGTTGGAGAAGAACCATAAGGAATTGTCACAAATAGACAATTTTATCCAATGCTCAGAACCACGTGGAATGTCTAATGTTGAACCATGACAAACAATTGGATGATTGTCTGTTTTTTGTTTTACAAATTCAACTATCAATTTTAAAAAATTTTTAGGAAAATGCAAATGTTGATACGGACAAACCAGCAGTTCTGGACTACTCTGATGAAGACAAGGTACCCCATTTTAACAGTTTTAGTAGTGATGAAATAAAGAGATGCTACTACTTTAACATAACATGATACTGTTTTTCTATTGTGTGACAGGACTATGACGAGGCTGAACAGGAAGGAAAGTCCGCTGTGCGCAATATTCAGGAAAGGTACCTCCAAACTCAACTCAACAACAACCACAACAACATCAGAAGCAGTGAGGTTTCAGAGGCTGAAGAGGAGAGAGCAGGCATGCCTCTATCCATCAGTAAGCACCATTTTAACCATTTTCTAAATCGTATCATTGTACTGTACATATTAAGGTCAATTTATTTTTATGTCTTGGTAAAGGTCTTTCTAAAGCGGAGACCCAGGCCCTGACAAACTATGGCAGTGGTGAGGATGAGAACGATGAAGAGGAAGTGGAGGAGTTTGAGGCCGGACCAGTAGATGTGCAGACTTCACTACAGGTCACTGCTGCTGGACACACAGATCCAGAGGTCAGTCCAAACAAGCATATAACACGAAAAAGGTCTGCTGTCAAGACCTCATTTACATGCTTGAAATACTAGTGGCCAGGGCTTAAAAACTTTGAATTTTTCTCACTACTTGCCAGATTTTTGATACAGGAAGTTGAACCTGTTTCTGTAATAATAATCTGTAATGAAGGGAATCGTGTGGAAATTATTTATTCATAAAATATAATTATCTTGTGTTCAAACTTGTTTTCAAATAGAAGAAAAAATGTTCTGCACCAGTTTTTTTTTTTTTTTACATTGATTTTGGCAGTTTTTATCATACCTTTTAACAATACCTAAGACTGAAGAAGATGAGTTGAAATGCTGATTAAAAAATATTCTGAAAAGACACAGTTTTTAAAATAGTTTTGTTTTACCACATTGTTTAATTTCATCACTGAGTCCATTCCATACACTTACTCCATAAACTGTTACACATCAGATTTTGATGGTTGTTCATACAGAAGGCTGCTTTAGCTGAAATTTGCCCCTCAAATTATAACTGATGGATTAATTCATTGATTGATTAGTTAATTTATGTATAATTGAATTTACCAACTATTGATGATGCCACAAATTGTGTAAAGTAGCCTGCAAATATTAAAATATTTCTTTTTAGTCATTATATTGTTATTGAACATGAATGTTTTATTATTTATCTTTTTAAGAAAATGACAGTAACTGACACCAAAGCCGAACAGAACCCATCAAACCTGCAGCAAGAAGATGGTGAGCAACTCTTCTTTCTTTGGGACTACAGAATAACATCGGAATGATTCTTTCAGTCTGATTCTTTTTTTTTTTTTCAGCTTTGGTTCACAGTGTCTCCCCAGTGAAGTCCAGTGAGGAGGCCGTTCCAGAGGAGAACCCAGCACAAGAGGAGGGGTGTAAACCAGACACTGTCCCTGCGTCAGAGGAATCCAACCCTGCCGATCACAGTGAGAATGTCCTCAAAGGCCCCACCAGCTCCAGTAGTCCGGATACAGACTCCCCTGTCATGATCAGCGTGGATGTGAGTACAACTAGGACCACATAGGAGCTGATCTCAAAGGATTACCTGTTCAGCTATTCTTTAGGAAATCAAATGTTTCTTTAATATTAGGGTGTGGTCTCTGAAAAAAATCAAGGCTAAAGCTTCTCAAGAAAGATAGCAGTGAAAGAACATAACTTTATTCCTTGTAACAGGAGGTGGGCAGCGGCAGCACCAGCCAGAAATCAGATGAAGATGACTTTGTGAAGGTGGATGACTTGCCTCTGCAGCTTACTGTTATGTGTGAGGTAGGAGCTTTTTCATCCCTCATCACTAATATGGACAAAATAACAATGGAATTTTAATCCAGTGTGACTAAACTGCGTGTGCGTGTGCGTTTGTGTGTGTGTGTGAGACAGGAGGAGCTACAGAAGAGGATAGTGGAGGAACAGCAGAATAACAACCTTTCTGCAGAGATCCTGAATGGGAACGCAGAGGGTCTGACTGGGCTGGTGGGCAATGATCAGGCACTCAAGGAACCCGGTATGTCTTTTTTTATACATATATATTACTGCTGCAAAACAAGCTTTTCTCTTTAATCAGTTGCAATTAGATACAACTATTCTGATCTGTACACATAAATTATATCTGTGGGCTTACCGTCTTTGTTATCTTAAATTTACTCTGTGTAATGCTTCTGGAGGAGGTTCCACCCCCTGCATTTAGCCAGTTACATTTCTCAAAAATACCTTGAAATACATGCGTTGTAAGAAGGGACACATGTCCATACATCTCACCTGTAACTTAACCCGGTGGTTTCTTCTGCTTGTCTCCATGGAGATTGACAAATTTTATGCAAATTATCTAAAATTCCAGGTCAATCAATAACATCTCTATGGAGACAAGAAAGTGGTGTATACTCCTCCAAAAAGGTTACATAATGCACCATTTGGGTAGTTAATTTTTTGTGTGTATTATTATTATGTGTATTACCTTAATCAATTTGTTACTGTCAGGGTTACTCTACTGATACTTTGCAGTTGATGTCATCAACATTCTATGGGGGATTGATACTAGCTATAAGCACTGCTCTGTCAGAGGCTTTGTTAAACTTTATTCTGAGCTTTATTTTAACACAGTCCGTCTTGGAAAGAACCAACTTAGTTGGACCTTTAGCAGGTGAGCAGATTGTCCTATTAAACAAGTCTCTCTCAAATAACTTTACAGTCACAAGCTAGCTAGCATCAGCCAAAGGTTTTTCAGTTATTACTTCTCACCTTTTTGTTGAAAATCAAACTCCCAAACAGGACCATGAATGCTTGTATTGTTCACAGGCTCCTGAAAATGTGCTGTTGTGAGTTTCAGACATGTTAAAACCTTTTTTTGGCTGTGTTTGCTAATGTCTGCATTGTGTCTCCAGGGTAACTGGGGAACATTCTATCAATACACATAAATGTAAAACACCCCCAGTGATGTCACTGCAAACTATCAATAAAATTACTGTACATTTGTTTTCATGAGTGAATAAAACATCCTTTCTATACATGGATATTATAAGTATTTTCTTTGTTTTTCAGAAGCTGCCCCAGACCTGTGAAAATCCACTTACAACACTTCTGAGTTTTATCAACACTACTTATCCCCTCAATATGATTTGACTCTTGTTGATTGTAGTTAAAAAGCAATGGTGTGTATGTTTGATCTCATGTTTTAGCACAACCTTGGTTCGGTTCATTCCTGAATGTAATCTCTGCTGCTCATTTGTCAATCCTCTTTTTAATAATAATTTTCCTGATTTGCCTTTGTTCCGTCCTGGGTTCTGGGATCACTTTTTCTTTTTTGTTGTATGTTCCATGTTTTCCGCCTTGCCTTACTGCTGTACAGACCACCTCTGCATCTAATTATTGAGATAATTGTAGAATAGGCGCTTCACATGTTTTTATATCTCAGATTTGATCTCCTTTAAGCCTTTGTTCATACACTGTTAAGTTTTGTTAGTTTCCATGTTATTAAACTCTAATGAATTTTAAATAAATTGTCAAATCTTTAAAATCTGGATGTTGTTATTGCTTCATAACAATAAATAACTGAACTAATATAGTCCATGATTTAAAAACACAGGTTGCATATCTTTAACAGTATTCAAAAAGGTACTACAGTCATAACTGTACCTGCCTGTGGGACTCGTGACGCTACACTGCTTTCTATTTGGATCATTCAGAGAACTAAAATACCAACTTGTAACATGGATCTTGTGCCCAATGTTTTTGTAATTTATTTATACTGTTATCAGTAAAAGCAGTATTTGACTTCAATATATTAACTTCCTATCTGGGGACACACATGGTTCAAATTAAAGAATTTTTTAAATAAAAAATCTAACATGCAGATATTTTAACAATACTTCACAAGAGTTTCTAAATAAAGTGCACATTTTCTCATACAAGGTGGATAGCATTTTTTAAGGTATATCTTCTCAGTAAATAGTAACTAGTAATACATGTGTTGTACAGTATAAGTTTAAACTAGAATGAAGGCTACACATGACATATCAGTTTAGTCTAATATGTATCAACTTCATTTAATAAGTAAAACATTTTCAAATATGTACACAAAATTATTTAAACTCAAATTATTGCGCACGTTGAGAAAGTCCCAATCTTATAAAATCCCAACTTTTATTAACCACTATAAAAACAGGAAGTAGTCACATTTGAGGCGAGTCAGTGTGATCCTATGACATGCAGTTAGCAGGCACAAAATGGTGTCTCAGTAAGTGCTAAACTTTAATATAGGTTCTATAGGACTCACAATTTCTGCTACATCTTAATTAGAAACATTAGAAAACTCATATACATTTTACATATAGTCTTACAAATTACACAATAGTCATAAGATTGTTTAGAAAGCAAAAATAAATCATTGTATCCCTGAATTGTTAGACAACACAAAAAATTCACAATTTGAAAGACTAGAACAAGGTTTGGTTTAGATACATGAGTGTATTTTGTAATCTCAGTACTCATGTGAGCGTTGTAAAGATTATTATTGATTGTAATCTGTTACCATGGCATGCAGGGGTTTGGACAGTCACGAATATAGGACTCAAGGTTACCATTGGATACTTGCATCAGTGTTGTGTAGGTGGTAAGCTGAAAAAAAAAACCAATAACACACAAAATATATTTAAATACTGTTAATTGTATCACATTATAAAGACCAAAAACTGACCTTGTTTAGTACAGGCTTTGTCGATAGAACATCGTATAGTGTTTTTATTGAAATATTCTGCAAAAGAAATCAAAGAAGTGTTTCAAGTTTTCAAAGAAGACAAATATGTTTTCAGAGTACCACCAGGGCTATATCCAAGGAGTACACAAGGGTTAAACAATGGGTAAACCGAGATGACCAAAGGTTATTTAAATGAAAACTAAACTGAAAGGGGATTGTGACATTACTCTGAATGAAAAGGAACAGTATGGGAGATTCAGATTTTAAATTTCATAAAGATGACCTAGGTGTGCCCTCAGATGAGTGTGAACATGTTCAAATTAAATATAATATATTGTTCCGAATGTTCACAATTGTAATGCAGATGTTGTTTCCTTAAATATAAAAAATGTCCCAATTATTTAAGTTATAATTTGTAGTCTTTTGGTTATCAAGACGATTATCCAATCAGAAAGCAGAATGAATCTTACATTAATCTCATTTGGGTTGCCAGTTTCAATGCTGAAATCCAATTGTTTTAAACTTAAAAAAAAAAAAAATTAAAAAGACTCTGGCCTCTGATCTGAATCCTCACTACTCAACACCTGCACCCAATTTTTAATCAGTTGTAGTGCAGGCTCTGAGTGAATTCTGGCTATATACAGTTCCTAAACAAACATGAGAACTCAGAATACCACAGTTTTAAAATATTGCTAACATATTTCATTATTTTGCCTATATAAACTGTCCTTACATTCTGTGTGGTCATGTTCATACACGTCATAGCAGGAGTTCTTCGGTCATCTAGAAAAAAGGGGTCCTCCCAGTGGTCATAGTTTGTCTCCAGGACGTACCAGCGACCCAGTTTAACGTTTAATCTACAAAAAAAAAAAAAAAAAACACACACACACACACATTGTAAAAAATACTTGCAAAACATCTTACTATTTAGATATTTACATAGGGTGAGGGTGTAGGTGAGGTAAAACGCTGACTGTAAGTACTTTTTGTTCCAACAAATGGTTGCAAAAGACAAGCACATGATAAGCTGCAGCATTGTGACCAGAACAGAGGAAACCACAAAGGTCAAAATCAAATATTGTTGTAATGGTTATGTATATAACACTGATTTCAGTTATATTATCTCTATATTTCAATATTGAACAATAACTATTATGAGGGTGGCGTAATTTTCATCAAAGGTACACCATGTCGGTTTTTTCTGCATTTATTCAGTTACATGTGTTTTAATTGAAAAAAAAAAAGTCCTCAAATAGATTTAAAAAAATAAATAAATAAAAAATTGTTAGACACATTAAAACACATGCTGTAATGTAGGATCATAGGTCAGATATATTCCACAACCCCGCTCACAGTAAGAATAACATCTCCATGGAAACAATCAGGTGACAGATTTTAGCAAGACAGTTACATAGTGCACCTTTAAATGAAAACACTTCTCACTGCACAGTCCCCAGGTTTTTTTTCCATTTGAGTTGATACTCACTCGAGCAGGTCCAAGCTCAGTTCTCTGGAGCGGGTGATGATGCACCCCTGTCCACTCTGATTCCCTCCCAGTATGAAGTACGCAGGAGCCAGCAGCTTGGTCTGAGCCAGCAGAGATCGGGCATTCTCATAGCTGCAACAGACAGACATTGTTTCCCGATGTTTTATGCAACGTTATAGCATCACTACGTAGCCTGCACTCCTACATTTTTAAAAAGGTGCTGCAAACTGAACCTGGGTTGTACCTCATATCTGAGGATGCAGTTAGGTCATGTTTGTGAAACTCAAACTCAAAATCTTACATACTGTTCCTTTAAATAGAAATACCTGGTTGCATTTTCCAGAACAGATCGGGTGAGGAAGCTCATCCACATCCCATCTCTCTGACCCAGAATCCACTCTAGGATGCCTGCAAAATATTAAAAAATTCCTAAATATAATACCTTTAAAAATGATATGAAAACTTATCTTTCTGTATTGTTCAGAAAATAAGGTCACTGAGGTCACTTCCTCCCGTTCTTCCGATGGGACCCTAAGGTGTTCCCTGGCCAGCTGAAAGACATAGTCCCTCCAGTGAGTCCTGAGTCTTCCCCGGCTACTCTTCCCAGTCTGACATGCCCATAACACCCCCCAGGAGACATCCAGGAGGCATTCGGAACAGATGCCCAAGCCACCTCAGCTGGAGCAGCAGCTCTACTCTGAGCTCCTCACCATATCTCTAAGGGAGTGCCCAGTTCCTCTGCAGAGGAAACTCATTTCGACTGCTTGTATCCGCAATCTTGTCATTTGCACAACATATCAAGAGTAAATACTCTTTATGCTGTTAAAACATACACATACCTTTAACAATACTCACCAATATATCCTCCGTCCAGGCTGAAGCGCTCATTCATAGTCAGACTGAACAAGTGCTGAAAACCAGAAATACCAACATTCAAAACTTTTATGACTTTAACTAGGGCTAAAAGATTGGGGAAAATATCAAACTGTTATTTTTCTGGCCAGATTGAAATATGAACAATGCATTTCAGAACATGTTTGCACAGATCTTAACTACAGTGTTCTACGCAGAATAAAACTGAATATTTTGCTGTGAAGGAAATTATGGATTTAAATATTTCAGCCTTTGCAATTTGCTAACTGTGTCCATTCAAATTGTGATTTTGATTTGCCTGTGGTAATCTTGCAGTCCTAACCTAAACAGCCATACTTCATAATCCTCCATTACTCACCGGCCTGATGCCCGTCAGCATGCCCACATATCCTGCAAAGTTGGTGGATTTGAATACAGTTTTGTTGTTCCTCCTGAAGTCCAGGTTGACCACTAGAGGCTTGAGCTTCTCACTCATGATCCAGGACTTGTTCTTCAAGTCCCAGCTGACAGGAGACATGGAAAGCATTACTTAAGTCTTATATTTGATAAGAGCAGAGAAACATCAGAGACACTTGTGACGGGATGTTCTTACCCCATAAATAATCCAAAATCCAGATTTCGACCATGGAGGAGGTTCCCTGGAGAAGACAGGATTTAAGATGTTGCGTCACCTAACAAACTGGTTAAAGTCATCTAGGAGTTCTAATGCACATATACAGCATCATCCAGGCAGTATCCATAGCAAAGGAGAAATTCAGTTCTGGCCCCTGATGGGTCCTTTCACACCTCTGAGCATACAGGCTGTCATTATAGTTTTCTTTGTTTTGATTTAGGCCTGAGTGTGGAGTTGCAAATAAGAGAGAGATGATGTCGGAGCCATCCATTTCTGTTTGATCAAAAATCTTTTGTCTAGTTGACAGAATTTAATTTCTCCTTTCCTATCTTTTACAATTTCCAAATCAGAATCCTGCATGTAGTTGTGTCTTCATACATAGTAATCCAGAAAGGGCTTCTCTGTGATTAAAGTCCATAAAAAGGTCCAAAACATCTAACCAATCATTTGAATTACAGTTCAGGTGTTAAAAACATAGTGTTACAACCAGCAAAACCTTTAACTGAAATACATTTTTAATTTGTCAGTAGTAGCTCAGTGATTAGAGTGCTTGTCCCTGCTTGGACTTGTGCATGCTGGCTGTGTATGAACTGGTATTACCTCTACTTGCAAAAAACATTACCCACCTTTGGAATCTTCTGCTACCACAGAAGTGCACACAGTGAAGACCTCGTAGAAGATGTTGAATAAAGTGATCTCCCCTGAAAAAAAAAAAAATCTAACTAAATAAAATGTGCCTTTAACACAAAGAAGCTAGCCAACATTACCAAGTGGAATGCCCGAGTCTGAAGCTATTCCTTTGATCTCATCCCTGAATGGGTTGGGCAGCGTATTCAGCATCAAAGGCTGACAAAAAATATACATAAATTTAAAAAATTAAATGTTCAATGTACGTATTTTGTTTTTCTTTTGTTTTTGTTTTTTTTTAAAGAAGACTCACCAAACTTATATCCACCAACTCAATCAGTCTTCCACTGGGCACAAAGGCCTTAGCCAGGTCTCTAACTGCTTGAATCATGTCGTCCAGCTTAATGAACAAAGTAAAAATAAATAAATACATAAATAAGAAAGTAGAATTATTTGTGAAATATTAAAATAGAGCTTGAAATGTACTCACATCCTTTTTCTTGTCTTTGATCACAGATGTCCATCTCTTGTGGGGTGGTAGGTCCAAGTCGATAGTGTACCAGCTGACAGTGCTCCTAAAACTGGTATGGAGCAGAACCAGTAAAACACATTATCAATACATTAGTACTGTACTGGAGTCATTTGCACATTTATCTGTTTTCTTCCGCTTATCTGGTGGCCTAAGCAGGGACTCCGAGACTTCCCTCACCCTAGACACTTCCTCCAACTCCTACAAGGAACCCCAAGGTGTTCCCAAACCAGCCAAGAGACATTCATGATTCAAGCGTGTCCAGGAACACACCGAAGATACCTGGAACAGCCACCTCAGCAGTGGCTCTAATCTTATGCTGCATTCAGACAGCTGCATCAGAACTGCACAAAACGCCTCTAGTAGGATTTGTATTTGCGGGCAGACACTTGAAACTCGTTGAGGCCTAAAGTTACATTTTTTTAACTCTTAATTTATCTAAACACACCCGTGTTTAACGATGCATTATAGTATTTAATATTAGTTTTAAATGTGCATTTTTATTACGTTATTTGGCCTTATGTGATAGTATGTATTTTTTTCTATGAATTTACTAAACTAACTGGCTGTAAAACTGGTCTATAGTCTGTTGGAACTTACTGGAACTTATTCCATATTCTTTTAATTTTCCTACGTCGTTATGAAAAATCTTTACGAACTTCAGTGATCTTCAGTAGTGTCATAACATAGAACAGGCATTACAAAACATCCAGTGACTCAGCCGAAGGTTTCTTTTCACCTCTAGTGATTAAAAATAAAAACTTACGTGGGTCCTTTTGGTGGATACATGTCTGTCCGACAATCTTCTGTGTACTGCAATTAAACAGCATAAATGACATATACATGATCATTAATAACAGGATCACGATGTTCCCTCAAATTGTCTGTTTATTGAATGATAAGTTCAACTTGATGCACGATGTACTCACTCAATTGTCACTTACCGGTGGTATAAATTGCGTTGTTGTTACAGAAAAAAAAGCAATAAAAACTAATAAACCTAAACGAACCATTTTGACCCACAAACAGACCAAACTCTCGTCCTTAGCGCTGAACTCTGTTGTTGCGGAAGCTGCTCTGTTTACCTCGTGACAGCGCACTCAATTATGGTTCAGAGGAGTAGAGATAGCGAGCCATTACATTTAAAACATTTTCTAAATTATATATTACCATGAAATATATTTAAGTATTTAAATTAATAAATATCTACATACGCATGTGTTTGATTTCAATAATGAAAAAAAACAAAAGAAACAAAAAACACACACATTTTTACGCCAACACCCCTA